GTGGCCATTTTGAATAACTAGTAATCTACAACGTGTACTTTGGGAATTTGTTTACACGCTAACATTTAGTACATTCATTTAAACAATGTTTTTTGGGTGGATATTATTACTTTGCCATAGGTCATCTATGTCATGAGGAACCCCAAAGACGTATTCACGTCATCCTTCCACTATTGTGCAATGGCCTCCTTCCTGGTTGACCCTGGATCACAGACCGAGTTTCTCCAAAAGTTCCTCAAAGGCGAAGGTGATTCAATGCATTACAGTATTCAGATGCAAAGCACCGCGTGGCATATTTGGAACGGGCTGCAGGTTTTTGCTTTCAATGAAACTATATCTCTATTTTCTAGTTATGTTCGGCTCATGGTTTGATCACGTAAAGAGCTGGCTTGATTATAAAGAGCAAATATTTTACATCTGCTATGAAGAAATGATAAAGGTAAGGACGGACGGACACACGCACGCATGGACATACATTTAACAGCCACTGCGATGTGACAAAGATTTTCCGAAGGTGAGATGACTTGTTTGTTGTTTCCGGAAGGATCTTCAAGACTCTGTGGCCAGACTTGCTGTTTTCCTGGAGAAATCTTTGGACAATGACGCGATTGTGAAGATAGCAGAGCGATGTGTGTTCCAGAACATGAAAAAGAACAGCATGTCCAACTACTCTGCAGTTCCCAAGGAAATCATGGACACCACAAAGTCGGAATTTCTCCGGAAAGGTGCCTTGTATAAGTCCTTGTTTAAATACAGCATCAATGGGTGTTGTTTGTGATCAACCTTCTGAGCCAAGCCACAAACGACTGGAGTTTCGTTCGTCAAATTCTTTTGTTGCAGTAACTCAAGAACTAGGAGCATGCATGAAGTCTAAATCGAGCAGTTTGCCATACTTACTTTTTTTTTTAACTCATTAGTACCAGCCAATTCTAGACCAAGTCTGAAAAGACGTTTAAAAACGTCTTTGGGAGTGAATGAGTTTTAATGTATATTCCTTATCAGAGATTCCATCTGGAAAATGTGTTCAAAGTTACAACGCAGTTTATTTAAATAGAGTGGGCTAACTTTGATCGTATCTATTTTGTTTCAGGAATAGCTGGTGATTGGAAAAACCAAATGACCGTCGCTGAAGTGGAGTACTTTGATGCTGTTTACGCAGAGAACATGAAAGATGTCGATTATCGGTTTGCATGGGATTAAAAGACGCATTTTCACAGACTGCAATCTATTGAGAATAACCCTTTTTTTTTTTTTTTTTTTGAAAAAATCAAGCAAGAAATTGGAAACAAAATCCTTTATACAGTTTACAGTACATCCCAGGAAAGGTTGCCTGGTTTTTGGCAAGGAAAACAAATACCGTATTTTCTACACGATAAGGCGATTCGGAGTATAAGACACACCTTCAGTGAATTGCCTATCTTAAAACAGTTTTCATATATAGGGCGCACTGCATTATAAGGCGCATAGAATAGACGCCACAATAGTGGCTGCGGTTTCGTTATGCATCCACTAGATGGAACTACGCTAAAGGGCATTCTATACAATACGGCTTTTATTTATACAGTGAACCCTCATTTATCACGGGGTTACGTTCCAAAAAGAACCCGTGATAGGCGAAATCCATGAAGTAGTCAGCTTTATTTTTTACAATTATACAATACTGAACTACTGTATGTATACAATGCAGAGGCGATTGCTCTAAGACTGCAAGGGAAGCACAGTTTCCCCTAAAATGTCAAAAAGTAAGTGATCAAATATGTGTGTGGACATGTCATTGACTAAATATGCGCTACAGCGCGCTCAACTTTTGTTCCGAATCAGCTTCTTATTACTGGTTACGACGCGACTCTCTTCTCATTCATTCCCGCAGCTTCACTGTGTTTTAAACTGTGTGGACGCTGAGCGCCTACAGCGCGGACGCTGGGCATCTAGAGGGTTCAGTGTAGGTTGTCCCAATGCATTGAAACGAGATGAGTCATTGGATAAATGCTGGTTTTGTCCCGCCCATTGGACACTCTGTGTCTCTGGGAGACGATGTACAGTGGGCATTTATAGACCGGAAGCTCAGCTTTTCTGCATGATGATCTGTCTGAGGCTGAATCTCTTTTTGATTGACAGCAAAATGAGCCAATCACCGATCTTTTGGTGTAGGCATCCGTGGGAGCATTTTTCAATTCTCATTCTGTTCTGCGTTGAACTGGAGACTTCTAATCATCTTACACTCTCTTTGTTGAAAACGACTAGTGACAAATTAATCTTTTATTTCTGGAGGGTTTTATTGTAGTTGCTTGTGTTCGCAGACTGACTTATATCACCACAGTTAAGTCCCTGGAAAAGAAGCCTTGTTTGTATGATAGTAGTGATGGGACGATGATACCTCAAGGAGTGTATTGACACACTTCACAAACTGTGTCAGCACTGTATTGACACTGTGTTGGTCATCCAATAGTGACCCCTGCAGTAGTTATAAAATCATTGCAGGTAAAGAAATTCCTTGTTTGTGTAAATGCTAAACTGAGTTGGTATGTAAAATATAGCAAATTTGAGATACAATTTTTAACTTATGTAGAATTTTTTTTGTAAAATCATGTGAAATAAAAGACAAAAAAGTGATTAGTTCATTAATTTTTATTGAGGAACAAAAGTTTTTGGAGTGTCTTTGCTCCAAGTCGATTTCTCCTCTGAGACACCATCTCCCCAGCCTCAGAAAATACTCTTTCACATGGTTCAGATGACGATAGTGAGCAGAGAGTTTAAATGAAAGTTGATGCAGATGTGGATAATGTTTTCTGGTTCCATTTCCAATATTGTAAAGGGTCTTGGTTTCTGGGTGTGTTTGCTTCTGACAGGCAGCGTTGGACTTCAATTATGGAGTATCTCGCAATTATAAGATAAAATGAATAAAGCAACTGTAAGGCTCTTTAACTGACTATCATATGTATATGTTGTATGTATATATATGTAAAACAGGCCATTCACTTGATAAACTGATAAAGTGGGTGCAATGCGCCACCGTAAAAAAGTTGCATATAACAGTAAACAATGCTCAAAGGAGAAAAAGATTTACCTAGATCAAAATTATTCGACACTGGGGAAAACTTCTTAGAACGATCCATAATTTAGCAAAACTCCAGCCAACAAACCCACGACATGTTGATATAGTTTGGGTCCTTATGAACACACTTTGGCAGCACATTGAAACGATTCAGTTCCTGTATTGGTCACGTGATTCTTAAAGCAATACACGCACCAATACGGGGTTTCACTCTACATCTTTATTTATATGGCCAATAAACATGTTTTATCACACACGTTCTGCACATGGTGACATTCAAAAGTATGAAATATTTTCATAAAGTGCGTGACAAATTTAATCACTCTCCTGACCAGAAAAGTGACTTAACAGTGACAGTGGAGTCTGGTATGTAACGTGACACAGCCAGCATGTGGCAGTGTTGTGCTCCGTTGGCGCACTACATAGAAGCCCATTGACCTAGCTAACACGAAAGCAAGCCCCGGCTGGTTAGGATGTGCACTTAGTCGCCATCTTGGAAGTCCCCAGCGATCTTGTGCTGGAAAGCAAGCCCCGGCTGGTTGGGATGTGCAGACATAGTCGCCATCTTGGAAGTCCCCAGCGATCTTGTGCTGGACGTACTGTTTGGCTCCAAGAAATTCATACTCGTCGAATTCTGTAGTGATTTTGACACGGATACTACATGGGGGTTAAAAACATCAGACACCCAGTTAGGATACCAGTCATCTGTTCTTTTACAGTCGGGGCTTTCAGAACGTTGAATATTAAGTGGAGATATGCTGTTTTTACCAAAACGGATCTCCCGCAAAACTCCACTTCATGAACGAGCTATACGATTATTTTTCTTGTCATATTGTCGTTGACGTAGAGTATGAAATAAATTGTCAATTTATTTCATCAAAATTAAAAGCTTTGAAAACAAACACTGCCAAATTTTGTCCTTATTTGAGACATTTTAATGAAGGTAAAAGTTGAAAGGCCTGGTCATCTTGTATTTTGATTCATTTTTTTTTATTTTATATCAGACACCAGGGAAGTAGTATCTCACCAGTCAAAAACGTCACCATATGGGTACAATGACAGATGTTCCTGGCTAGATTTGCATCCTGGGCGAGCCACCCCTTGTTGCCTCACCAAATCACAATGAGACAATTCAGGCATGTCTCATAATTTGGTACCTACCTCACGTTTTCTTTAAACATCTGGTGAACTCACTGCCACATGCTGCCAGTGGCAGAGTACTTTTTGAGACTCCACCATGCATCACTCACTTTTCTGGCTGATCAGAACAACTAAAATATGACACGCTAATTGATTAAATATATGAGCAGTGTTGGGAAAGTTCTGTTCTTGTGTGTCTGGGCAGCGTTGTGTCGGTTGCCGCTCAGTGACTGTTGATGCGGGTCTGAATGGTTATCCGACTCTATATGTGCCCTTGCGACTGACTTAAAACAAGTTTAGGGTGTAATCGCCTTTCGCCCATAGCTAGGATGGGCTATAGCACCCTCGCATGACCCTGTCCAATTTTGAACTGTAACTCCCAAGTGGCCCAAGGAGGTGTCTGGTGCCCATCCTTTTACGCATGTACAAATAGCACAAACAGTCCTGTTTATGATACAGCACAGCATGGAATTATGTTGATCTATGACTGGAATATTAACTCAAAATACTTGGGCCCAGGATTGTTGTAATGGCCATAACCTCTACATGCAAGATGAAATACACGGTTCTGTTAGATTCAGTGTCCTGAAAATCACAACTCTATTAGCATGTTAGGTGAAGTAAATGTGTAGGTATTAAAGAAATACGAAGTGTGTTGTGGCCATTTTGGAAAATGGCTGCCCTATGAGGCCCAATGTCAAATCTGCGAGGGCCCTATATTGTTAAATATTTTCTATTGGGTTTGTTGTGTTTTCATCAAATTTCATGCTTTTATCATGAAATAAGCATATATATTTTTTTTTTTACAAATCCACCAAACTGTACAAGGGGCTAACATATAGTTAGTCTGTCGCCAACAAGTAAGGTAATTGCCACGTTGTTGATTTTTTTTTTTTTTTGTCTTCCTTCTCCATGTGATCATGCTTTATATGTGATGACGCATGCGGCCGCATAATGCCCCATGGCTTGGGTTGCCAAATAAGGTTCTTCCTCCGTCAGGACCCATTGAACAAAAATGTTCAAAAACCGCTCACAGATGCCAGAATGGGCGCGTTCACAAAACCAGTCAGAAATGCATCGTTCAGCTGTGTCATATTGGTGATATAAAGATAAACAGCAATGTCGCTTGTATGAGGTTTAATTTAATCGGAGTGTTTTTTTGGTTAATTCGTTCAAGAGGATTTTAGAGTTTGATGTTTTTCATGTTTTTTAGAAAATCCCACAAAAAATGGAGGACACTTGTCACTTTGCGATTTACAGTACAGTATCATGAAAAGGAATCCCCATTGACAGTACTTAATAGGTCCTCTGAGTTTCAATGGAAGAAATTCTGGGGACAAATAAGGAAGCATTCAAAGTCAATTAAAAAGTGCTTTGGCAGAATTCAGGACAGCTGTAGAACCCGAGCACCCTCTGAAGGAGTCGCAACATAGAAAGTTGGGGTTCCACTATACCGCTCCTGGAAGAACAGAAAGTGAACACACGCACACGCACACACACACGCACACACACACACACACACACACACACACACACAATGAGCATCTCAAAGCAGCCAATTGTAAAATCTTACAATTTCCGATGAATGTAGAGATTCATCTGTGCTCATTTGAAAAAAAATGTAAATTCAAAGACTGCCTCCAGACCGACAACATGGATGCACGGTTCCATACTGGGGCTAGATTCCATTAACACCGCAACCTCTCAAAGGTTAATTTTGACCAAGCCAGTCTCATGATTTATTGTTGTAATTATTTTGTATTGAACTGATTCAATGGCAAACATTTTCAAGTCACAACAATTTTAGAGCATTTTTGACTGATTTTTCCAAGACCCACAGAACATTTTGTTCTACGATTACACTGTTCAACAGAAAATTTTAATCACAGAGAGGCATTTATGTGTCCCTTAATGTATTTTTTTATATTAATCTAAAAGTGTCTGCTTTTTTTCCACATTTTTGAGATATTTTCATTTTTCTGTTAAGTTGAATCAATACAACCGCATTTTACCATGCATTGTAATGTATAACTATGAGGTCAAAGAAAAAAAATGTCCCCTGTGGTTGAACCCAACCATTGAAGGGCTCGTTGGTTGGGCTGAACATTGGCACTTATGTAATAGGACTTTATGTAAAAATAATGTCAGTCCTAAAATTCTCACCATCTGAAAAACTCAGTAGTTATTTAATGTAGGGTTGATTCAAATTTTGACACCGAATTTACCATCTCGCACCGTCACTCATTTTTGACTTTTGTACCTTGCATCGGCTAACGTGAGTCTGTCTAGTATCGGCTCAATGTTTACCTTTAAACCAAGTTCAATACTAATTGTACTTTTGCCATAGCCCCCCACAATTAAACATCCAATTCAGAACAGTAAATGCTAAAATGAAGTGCACTTTTATCGTGCTTACCGACACTTCATGTTGTCCAAAGTGCTTTACCAAGCCACACATTTTAAAATGTACCGAGTAAATGGATGGATGGATTGAAAAAGTTTATATTTGCTCTCTCGTCTCACACTTGTGGACCATACATTCTGAGAAACACCAGTGTGCCTGTATATTTTCGAGAGAGAGAGAGAATTTTTTCCGCACTGTAAATTTGAATGTCCTGTTTGATTATCATCAAGTGATGGCTATTTAGATCTAATGTTTACAAAATAAAAATGTAATTCATCAATTAATCGTGCATACCGGCCCACTTAAACAGCTGGTTGTGCTCACTTTCCAGGTGTCCAAAGCCCTAAGGCGGCATCCACGACCGTCCGGTAGTGGCAAGGCTCCAGGCTGCAGCCGTCGACCTCTCATTAGGTCAACAGACCTGGCCAGCGCGGTACATGCACTCGCAAAAAGTTTTGCTCCAAGCTTCACTATTCCAACCCTGAGTATATACGAAATTGATGTGAGTGGTTCTCAGAAAGCATGGTGAGTGGAGCATGAGAGCCCAAGAAAGACCAAACAACAAACCAGGTAAATATTAGATATGCTTGAGATCTTCCTGCAGTCGGCTATGAATAACTATCAGGCCTTTTTAACTCATTCAGTACCAGCCAATTGTGGACCATAGTCTGAAAAGTCGTTTAAAAACGTCTATGGGAGTAAATAAGTTAAGCATGAGCTGTATGCACATGTGACTGTGTATATACAATTTGTATGTTTTTATTTTTTATTTTATAATTAGCTTTTTTTTTTTTTTTTTTTTTAACATGTTTGAAATATGCAGAATGTCTTTACCTGTATGTGACGTGTCACCCTGTCAACGACCTGGGCCTTCAGCAAAGTTATTGTGCAACCTCCAAATCCTCCACCTGTCATCCTGCTGCCAAACACTCCCTCCACCTCCATGGCAACGGACACCAGATCGTCCAGCTCCTTACAGCTCACCTCATATAAATCTCTGACAAAAAGGAAGCATACATAAATGTCATCACAAACCTCTACTTTGGAAAACCATGGAAATGAGAACTGTGCCTGTGATTTAAAAAAAAAAAAGACAAAAAGATCTGGAAAACTGCAAGAAAATAACAGAAATCTGCACATTTGCAGGCAGATTATAAAAACATTGATCGTTGGTGAACCTAAGATGCTCAATCGATAATAATAATGTGTGTGAATGGTGCGATAGGCTCCAATGGTCACATGATAAACCAAAATATATATTTTTTAAGTTTTAAAATAAAAAAAAAAACATTTTTTTAATTACATTTTTTTTTTACAGTACCTGAGGGAATTGTGGCTTTCCACCATGACTTTGCCGAACTCTTGATAGGCACCCGTCTTCAAGTATTCTGCACCTCTGACGGTCCTTTGGATCTCCCCAATAACATGAAAAGCTCGACGATAGGTCACGTCGTCAAGTTGGTCCCTTGCATCTGAAATGTAGAGTTCAGACAAAGTTAGCTTGTTGCTGTGTTGAGCAGGAAGTTGGTATACGGTGTAGTTTTTGTTTAATTCACTGAACTTCCCTGACAGAGTCGATCTGTAAATGTAAAAAATGACAGGAAAACAGGAAAATATTGCCTCTTATTAAATAATGATGATACTGTTAAAATATAAATAAATAACCCTAATTTTTATTCTTCACCCCATTCTGTTTTTTATATTATGCACAACTCTCATTTATTATGCAATACAGTAATCAAATTGTAACATGTATTTGTATGTATTTTTCTACATTTTTTTTACACTATGCACAACTCATTTATTGTGCAATAATATAACTGTAACATGTATTTATTACATCTTTTGATGCATTTTTTTATGCTTTATAAAACATTTATGTCGGAATTTCTGGGGGCCTGGGAACGGATTAGGGCATTTACATGGAACATGCGTCTTTATTGACAACATTTTCTCGTGAAGACATTTCTTCCAGAACATATTAATTTTGTAAGTAGAGGTACCACTGTACAATGATTTGCAAATATTGTTCAACATACATTTTCAGTAATTGAATGCACTACAAAGACATCTCATTTTCAAACTGATTAACTTTTTTAAAGCAAATAATCATTAGCTTAGAATTTTATGGCTGCAACATATTCCAAAAAAAGTTTGGACAGGTGGCAAAAAAGACTGAGAAAGTTAGAGTGCTCATCAAACACCTGCTTGGAACATCCCACAGGTGAACAGGCTACCTGGGAACAGATCAAATATCTAAAAAGTACTTTTTTATGACAGTGATTAATTTTGCTCACATTTATTAATTTTTTTAACTGCGCTCAGATCAATACCAAAATATGCAGTATCATACATACACCACTTAATGGAAGAAAAATATAAGGAATGAGGAATGCACAAGAGCCCTGGATGAAGAACGGTCATGGCTTGACTAAATAAAGTGTTGCCTAGAATAGTCTGGAATATGATGATTAAAATGTTCAAACCTTCCAGGTCATTCATGGTCACATCTCTTAGACTGGGTTTCCCCAGGATTGAGGCAGCCTTCTCACACTGTGCACGTCTCAAGGCATAGTTGCTACTTGCCAAAGAATGTTTGACATTGGAGTTGGTGATGAGAAAGACGAGACCTGGAACTGTTAACTGGACGGGGGTGGACTCCAGCGACCTGCAGGAAAATGACAACGCAGCCATACAAGGTGAAGAGCCTGGACTCAATTGTGTCTTCTCCTCTGACTATAATATACCGCATTTACTCTAAAGCGCATCTAAAAGCATTCCATTTTCAGAAAAGCCGACAGTGCGCCCTATAATCCGATGCACCTTATAAATGGTGTTAAGTTACAGTCTTTTTATAGTCCTCATTGAGTTATTTCCCTGTTAGTGTTCCAGTGCCATCTAGTGGTGATTATTAGCAGATACCAATTGTGACGTAAAAAGAGTTCTTCTGCCCAGCACGAATTGACACGTGCATTCGCCAACACACACTCAAACAGACTACTTCGTGAGCTCTGCACAGCCATTATGAAACAAAGAGAATACCAAAAGCATAGTTAACTACTGACTAAACGAAGGACAAAGGAGACAAGCGAGACTTCTAAAGGATATTCAGCCCCTTGTGGATGGCCAAAATACCTGCTGAGAGGTGCAAAAGTCTCATTGAAAGTTACAAAAATTGATTGCAACGATTGCCTCAAAAAGTTGCGCAAGAAAATGTTAAGTTTAGGCTACCATCATCTTTGCGGCTGAAATGAATTTCCTCCGTAAGGTGTCCTGGCTCTCCCTTAAGAGATAGGGTGAGATGCTTGGTCATCTAGGAGGGGCTCAGAGTCAAGCCACTGCTCCGCCGCATTGAGAGTTGCCAGATTAGGTGGCTCGGGCATCTGATTGGGATGGCTCCTGGACACCACCCTGGTGAGGTGTTACGGGCATGTCTCACCGGGAGGAGGCCCTGGGCACGACCCAGGACACGCCGGAGAGACTATGCCTCAGAATCCCCAAGAGGACCTGGATGAAGTGGCTGGGGGAGCGGAAGACTGGGCGTCCCTGCTTAAGCTGCTGGTCTCGTAACCCCACCCTCAGGTTTTTTTGTTTTTTATTAACAGAGGGGTATCAACAGTTTGTGTTCTAAGAGTTTATTCTTCCTTGACATGTACCAACCTGCAGTCAATCAGCAACGCATGCCCCTCCATCCCAAGAACCGACACGAGCTGATCCATGATGCCACAAGGCACACCGGCATGAGTGTGCTCGGCCTGCTGACATGCAATTGCTTTGGATACTTTGTCTCCGTCATCTATTGAAAAACAAGCAAAAAGCAAAAATAATCAGAAAAAATATGAAAGCTCATACAACAATTTCGACAATCACACTGCGCAGCGATGTTCATTGTTTATCACAGATTTTTTCAAAAATCCTGTCCCTTATCTCGAAGTATAGCCAAGTCATTATTTTAGGTGACTTGCATATCAATGATCCATTTGACTCAGTTGCAGTTGATTTCTATAAAAATTTTCTGAACATTAATTTCACTCAAAGTATTTTTCAACCCACTCATATCCATAGGTCATACACTGGAACTCATTATTACCTCAGAACTGTCAACACACATCTCCCCCGTTCAAGACCAAGCAATCCCAGATCATTGTTGTAGGGTTACAACAATTTTTTTTTATTAATTTTTTTGAATTTAATTTTTTATTAAAAAAAATTCTAAAGGCCTTTTAACCCTCATTTATTTTTTTAAGAATAAATGAAAACTGATCATGGTATATTGTTATCATGATCTAAAAATGGTCTACATTCGTGATAGAGGATTTCCATACCACACAGCCCTATTACTTTGAGTCATTTCCCATTACGTTGTTGTTCAATAAAACCCTTATAATCAAAACTATTATACATTTTAATTTTAATTCAAAACACTTGGGAGAAAACTGAACAAAAACAGCATCCAGACGCTCCCCAGCTTACCAACGAGATACGTTCCGAACGATCGTTCGTAAGGTGAATTTGTTCATAAGTTGCTTCAGTGCTATATTTTGTATGGAATGTATGTTTAAGGCTTATATAAGTATGTTTACTTGCTAATAATAGGCGATTGCATCGGCACTGCACCTTTCACGTGTTCCATTATGCGATCTTTCTGTTTATAAATGGTACCGATGGTCGAACGATTCATGTTGTATGCACGTGCAACGCTCACCATTTTCCTCACCCGCATCAAGCTTCTTTATTATTGCCACTTTCATTTGAAATGAAATGGCTTGCCTCTTCTTTACACTTCCACTCTCACTAGAAGCCTTTCGCTTTTCACCAACCATATTGAATAATGGATGCACGAGATATTTAACAACTGGGCAGAGGAAGCCGGATTCGGGGTTTGATGCTGGGCGAGCTCTCACAGCGCCTCACGTCGGTATTAGCGGCGGAAAGAAGCACTACAGTACCTGTACTGTACTCGGAAAAAGGCGCGCAATACAAAATCTAACTTTTTCTTTTCTTTTTCGACATACCTGTAAAAATGTTCATATGTACCGTTGTTCATAACTCGGATGTTCGTAAGTCGGGGAGCGTCTGTACTCTTAAGTTTTTAATATAGTGTAACTGTTGATCTCTGACCTGGCTTGAGTTGCTGCAGAAATGTGTAAAAGGCCACTTCGAAAGAAGCTGAGCTGGAGAGACCTGCCCCCAGGGTGACACTGGAGACCACCACAGCTTTGAAACCTGGGAGCGGGTGAGCTGAAAAACAGAAGATAGTCGAATATGATCAACTGTCCGAGTGGGGCTCGGCAAAGAGCCTACACCTCTACACACCACAAAGACAAAAGTATATGATGCTGGACTTCCAGAGGCACAGGGCAAATCCATCTCCCCTTTTCATCAATGGCGACCTCTTGGAGATGGTCCTCACTTTCAACTTTCTATGCACCGTATACAGTTGCAAGAAAAGTCAATTTTTTTTGTTGAAAAATGATGAGCTCTATTTTCCCATTAATTTCGATATATGAATGGTCTTGGTATGGACATAGGATGGATCTATGTAATTCTTGTGCTACGTGCCTAATGCAGTGCTGTGATCTAAAAACTCTGTGGCTGAAGGCAGAAGCTATTGCATATGAAGGCAGAAGTTCCATCACTGCATTCATAATCATCCAACCACAAATCGCTGTTTGTCGTGAATTAAACTTTTTAAATGACAATACAACATCCCACTGCATGTTTTTTTAAAACAGAAAAAGACACGTTTCCCTGTATTTGGAACTGAGAGTTGCCGGTTGGAATTGAAGTGGATTTACATGGGACAGGAGAGGCGAACCAATCTCTTTTTTCATCAATGGACGCTACAGCTTCTTGTTGACTTTCAAATTTAGCTTGTAGCCGACGTGTGCACATTTTGAGCATGAAGTCTCTGATCTACTGGTGAAAGGACACGTTGATTCTCTCCTCTTTCATCGAGAACTGCGTCCAACAAAGCGGATGAGGGAAAAGCGGTTAAGCGTGCACGACTGTCCATGTTTTTATGTTATGTGTTATGTTTATTATTTGATGATATGATGATACGAGGGTAGCCTGTACTACCAGAGACAAATTCCTTGTGTGTTCCACATACTTGGCCAATAAAGATGATCCTGATTCTGATTTTATTTTATATTTTATTTTTTGTTAACTGTTTTGTAAAGCGCTTTGTTACAGCTGCAGCTGTTGTGAAAGCGCTATATAAATCAGGATGCATTGTATTGTGTATATTGAATTGATATGGTAAAAGCAACTAGAAAAGAAACACTTGAATCAGATTTTCTCTGTTATTGTGGTAGGAGACCGCAAGCCTCTTCCCCCGTTTGCCCTGCTCTGTTTAATGAGCAATCAATACTTTTTTTTTCTCAAGTGTTTTCTTGATAATAGTGTGTGTTTCTATATTGTATCACAGTATATTTAATTTGAACCACATGCTGGTTTAAAAAGAAACCAAAAACTTAATTTCTGGGATGCAATGGTTAATTGCATTTCCATTTTATTTCAATGGCAAATATTACCTCGATTTTTGAACGTTTCGAGTTACACTCCACTGTACATTACCCCCACACAGTCCTACCTCTCCGAACACAATCAATCTTGTGGGTGTCAGAGTGAATTTCCGAACCTAAGTGACTTGAAATGAGCCCAGTATGTTAAAGAGCCTTGTGATAACTTCAGCTATGAATTGGCCCTTCTAGTAAATAATAGTTATGTGTATTTTACCTCTGTAGTGATGTATAACGCCTTTCACATAGTTGGCCCAGTGTGGTAACCCCGGAGATAGTGGGAGTCCCTCATTTGGCAGCCCTGGAGAGAGTGGGAATGTTCCCTTTGGCAGTCTCAGGTCGACTCTCCTGGGTTCATCGGCATGCTCGCTTGCAGTGACAATGGTAGCTTCCGGATCAGATGAGGCACTTCCAACCACCACAGTGACCAGGGGTAATGCCTGGCTTACAAACGCAATTTTGGTCACTGAGCAATTTCCGTCTCTGTCACGAGGGTTGGAGCAACAAAATATTTTACCATTGGAAGTACGTATCCCTGGTTGTAGTCCGTGTGCTCCCCGATCAGGTTGACCCTTCCCGGAGCACACACTGCAAACTGAGGAGCTTCGTCGTCAAACATTTGTTTGAACAAAGAAGTAGCCTCCGAAACAAGCTGACCCAAGCTTGGAACCGGAGCGGCCATTCTATTGAGGTTAACTGTAACTCGTAATGCGGAGACGAATTATGCCGAGGGTTTAAATTGTGTCCGGAAAGCACGTCAACTTGGAGAGGCACGTATCGAAACGTTATTCGCGCTAGACCTTGACGTCACAAAACGTATACACATTGTCCTTTGAAACTTATCGCTCTTTTTTTTTTTTTTGGCTTTTATATTCTTTGTTTCCTCCCAGGCGTGTTTTGAGCATTTGCTGAAGTTGTGTGTTACTGTATTTCAATATTATAATTTTGTATAGTGCAATATCTATTTCTTTTATTCGTGTGACGTCATAGAGAGGGGAGGAGCCAGGTTGGGTTAATACAGTATTGTTCTCCAGTAGTTAGTCTGGGTGTGGAGCGCGTGGGCGTGAGTTGACACCTAAACAACTCCTATGAATGTGTGTGTTATTGCTCTTTTTGTTTATTAAAAAAACGACAGATTGCATCAGCGACTGCGTGCATCCTTCTTTCCGTACTGAAGGGCATTACAATATGTCTGGATACGTTGTTTAAATAAAGTTTTGGGGATTTAAATCAGTAACAACCTCTCGAGAGCTGTAGCTTGAGTTATTATTGATAATTTTGACTGACTTCACACTCCCATTGGAAATTTTTTTTTGTTTTGTTTCTTCAATGAGAGCAACCCCCCACCCCCCCACAAACCAGTGTTTGTTATAAATGTTAGAATTTTTCTTGTTCCATTGGCAAATTTGTTTTTATCAAAACCTTTTTTTATTATTATTGAAAAGAAAACTAATTATGTTACACTATACTCACAAACCCAATTCCAATTAAGTTGGGACATTGTGTTTAACATTAAAAAAAAACAGAATACTGTACAATGATGTGCAAATCATGAACAATTCATCTTTAATTGAATACACTACAAAGACAAGATATTTAATGTTCAAATCGATAAACGTTATTGTTTTCAGCAAATAATTGTTCACTTTAAATTTTATGGTTGCAACATGTTCCAAAGAAGCTGGGCCATGGTCACGTTTACCACTGTTACATCACCTTGTTTGAAGAACAACATTCAAAAAACGTTTGGGAACTGAGGACACAAATTGTTTCCAGGAAGACTGTGGGCTGATCCCACGGCAGTTGGAAGAACACTCCGATCCCCTTACTTAAAAAGGGCGACCACCAACCCGGCCTTCCAATCCAGAGGCACCATTGCCGATGTCCAAATGATGGTGTACTGTAGACTCTGGGGTTGCGCAATATATTGTTAACGTATCATCATCGAGATATGAACATTCAAGATATTAACAACGAAATTAGGACGATATCAGTCACGTGATCACGCCAGCTTGGGTTGCGGATAAAACTCAGTCAAACCAACCACATACTCCTTTTCAAGTTTAGCGTAGATCGACAGTTAAATCGAGGCAGTGGCAATCGTTTTATGAAAGGGAGGGAAGGGTCGAGGGAGAGAGGGAGGGGACCTAAACAGCCGATGCTAGACAAAGCGACTTGCGATTTGTGACACAGCAATATGCTGTCAAGTATTTACGGTTGTGTGGGTTATGTTGTGTTTCAGAACATTCTGTGTCCATATTTTTAATTTCACAATTACCAGCGGCTAAAATAGCATAGCTTGTTGAAAAAATTTCTGCCCAGTTCCTCCGGTCCATTCACTTGAAAGGGAGTTAGCCAGAGCCTTTCAATATATCCACACCTCATGATGATCGTCCATGTACAATTTCTGTTGCAACTCGCGATCTTTTTGTTGATTAAAAAAATCATACAATGCAGCATTTTTTATGGGGAGCCTCAAAACGATCTAGCTTGTTGAAAAAATTTCTGCCCAGTTCCTCCGGTCCATTCACTTGAAACGGAGTTAGCCAGAGCCTTTCAATATATCCACACCTCATGATGATTGTCGATGTACAATTTCTGTTGCAACTCGCGATATTTTTGTTGATTAAAAAATCATACAATGCAGCATTTTGCATGCTGAGCCTCAAAACGATCTTGTGTGGCATAGTTCATATCACTGGGAGTCCACACATTACATCGTCATGTCATGCATCAGTGCATATACTGTATAACCATTGTCAAGTACAGGGTTAATGGTTGCCTTGTTTTCAAGCCACGCAACACATCCGTCCATTTTCTGAACACTGATCCTCACAAAGGTCGTCCAAGGACAAATTGGTACATGATGACACAGATTGATGCATTTAACATACACGCATGCGAACACAGCAAATACTTTTGATGTGGCATAAATTGTTACTGTCAACAAAGCACATTACAGTACAATGTGAATTTAATACATTTTGATTATTTTGATTATTGATGATTGCTGACTTTGTTAATGTTTACTTACTGTATGTCTGTCAGTAACTTCTAATAATAGAGAAAAAAATACACTTTCCAGCCTTTTGGATTGATTTTGTGTTTTATCTTTAAAAAATATGTGCTTCGTCTTCGCTGAATCCATCGTAATATCGTTAAAATATCATTATCAAGATATCTGGCAAAAATATGAAGATAAAATTTTGGCCATATTGCACAGCACTGGTGTAGAGGCATTTCGACCAGGACGGAATTTTTAATCATATCCACTATCAGTCCAAGGTGAAGTGTTACTACTGCCACAGGGGGACACACACCATTTTTATTACATGAACTCTGAAGGTTCTTCCATTTTGAACAGGACAGATGAATTTCGTCTTCTTCTTGTCTAGATTATTTGGTGGTTGGCAAACCAACGTTTGGTGCACCTACCGGAGTAGGAAAATATGGAGCAGTAACAAAGGCAGCAATGAAATGAGAGGGAAAACAACAACAACAACAATAACAACAACAACAAAATCCTACTCATAAATTTATTTTCTCATTTATTTATTTCTCATTAATCTAATTTATTTACTCATAACTATATATATATATTTTTTTTCTGAACTTTGGTTGTTGATGTGGATCCAAGATTTCGAATGCAAGTTGATTTTCCTTTTCCACCACCATCCGTCCTTCCGTATGCTCTGCAGTCCATTAGAACAGGCTATGGCTAACGAGACGTCATAGTTTGCTGGCAAGCAACAGGCTGTGAGTCATTGTTACAAGCTCGCTTGGTGTGTGATATCGTGTTTGACATTCAACTTTATTATAGATATCTGTTATTGTAATTATTGCTATACTGTATTCAATATTTGTAAAGTAACACAAATTATTTTGGGCTCTTACATCTGTTGTCCTCACACATCCCAAATTTGAATGTACCCTTACTTCCTTCCTTGAAAGGTTAGTGATGACATGCCATATAAGTTGGACTTTTTGCAGCTGAAACAGGTAAATTTAAAAGTAGAATTTTTATGTAGCATTATAATTTTTATGTTCTTTATAAAATGTTTTTTTTTTGTGTGTGGTGAGATGGGGAAGTGCACAATATCATTCTTTGATGCAGCCAAGCTTTTGTCTTTTTAGTCAAGTGCACAATTTGGGGGTGGGGTGGATTCATGTGTTTAATTATTATTTCATGAATTAATCAGAAAACCGTGTTTAGACCAACAGGGCACAAAGAACATGTTGAAAAGAAAATGTTTGACTTGACTTGCACTTCAATACATTTTTTTCACCTTGCAATGCTTTCACTTTTATACTTTAAGTCATTTTAAAACCATTAGTTTTATACTTTTACTGAAGTAAAAAGCTGGAGTTGATAATTAAACTTCTCATGGCTTTTTAAATCGCAGTACACCTGTATATACTTCTGCTTGGGTAATGAACAAAAGTACTTTAGACACCTCTGGATATGAACTTTAGTTAGTCACGACATGCCTCTCAGAGTTGCGTGCCTTCAGAGACACTAGGCTGGTGCGAGCAAAGTGTCAGCGCAGTCCATATTTGTGGACAACACGAAATAAAGATTCCTGCACACAGATACAAACGACACAATATTTTGAGCTGCTTGCTTATGGCTACGCTAGTCTAGTCGGAGGCAAGTGTCAACAATCCATATTTGTGGCCAACATAAAATAATGATTCCTGTACATTGGGCTCCATACAGTTGCACACAGCACCATACAATTACAGCAAGGCAAGTGGGAATAACCTTCAACAGGTCAGAATATTTTTGTGCTCTCTTCATCAAAAGTTCTGTATTAGCCCATGCTTTGACGTTGACAAAAAGGTAATGTTCAGTAAAAATCGATTCACAAAAAATAGGCTTCTGCAGCGCCCCGCGTCATGTCTGATGCTTCCGCCCCTCAGTTCCGCCTTCGTGCGTGAACCATTTGTCAGAAGTTCAGAAACAGCTCGTGCAAAACATTGGACGGCATCTCATGTCCATCACAGAAACAACGTTGACATTTTACAATGCCCTCGCCCCCTTTTCTAAAAAGACACCGTGCAGCCTCATTAAATAATAATAATAATAATAATAATAATAATAATAATAATAATGTAATAGTAAGAAGAAGACATTGGTAGTTAATCAAATTCTATTCGTCAGAAGTATCCAATATTTGCGTTTGTGGCCAAATGTTAAACAGAAAAAAAGTGATTCTGGAAAACGCTTTTAGTTTTATGTTAATTAAAACCGAGTGTAAAGTAAAACGTAAAAGTGATAGTCAAATACGTTTATAGGCATTTTATGGTTTCTGATTTAGAATCTAGGCATTGTAGTCTTTTAATGTATTTAAAACTAAATTCAATATCGTCGACCTATTCTTCCTGAAAAGAAACAGGGAATACGGATGCGGAAGTAGGCGTCACTTTGTACCGAAGTTCTTGAGGTTCTATTGAACGCGAGAGGGAGGGCGGAGTCAGTTTTAAAGCTGCTTGTCTCGGAGGAGCTACTGTATTGAACCCGGGGATACTTTACCACTTCAAGTCGAGTTTCGTTGTTGTTGTTTCCCTCCCATACGGACCTTTATTGTGGATTCTCACTGAACTTTACGTTCATTCCCATTTACTCGACACGACGGGGAGATCCAACTCAAATACCGGACATTGACACCTAAACAACATCTTCTGCCGATTTAAACAGAGTGAAGATCAACTCGGCAACGGCCGTTTGGATTCAGGTGGGCAGAGTATTGCTATCCATCTAGTTTCTAGACCAGTCACCCTGTTCAGGGTCGCGCGAGAGTGTGCGACTTTTTTTCTAGAGGGACACACAGTTGTTGGGTTTATTGACAAGTGAAACAGCACAGTATTCCTCAGAGCCACCTGTTTCTCTTCTTGTTCTTGCACATTGAACACGTACAAGTCAGGACATTCATCGGTACCGCAACATTGCTAACGAGCTAGCCTTCTCGTAAAACTTAGCAACGGTAGCAACTTTCACCTGTGCGATGGCAATATGATATGGCGTGTTTTTGATACATGAGGAGAATGGTGTATATA